AAATCCATTCCAATGGGCTGTGCCAACAATAAAAAAACGTAGTAGTGTATGGAAATGAAAAGGAAGTTGGTTTTGGAAGAGACCTGAGTTTGAATCCTGCCTTTGCTACTTACTGTCTAGGTGAACATAAACAAGTCACATGACTTTGAGCCTGCAGTCAAGAAGATTTGATTTTATATCCAATCTTAGACATTTAACAGCTGTGTGATTTTGAACAGGTTACTTAACTTCTGTTTGCCTCAGTTTCTGCAACTGTAAAGGGGGGATAATAATAGCACCTGGCTAGGTGGCTCAGTGGATAGAACCGTGGGCCTGGAGTCAGGAGGACCTGAGTTCAAATCTGTCCTCAGATATTTATTAGCTGTGTGATTCTCGGCAAGTCAAAACCTCTGTTTGCCTTGGTTTTCCTCAATTATAAAATGAGGATAATAATAGCTCCTTTCTTCCAGGTTTGTTGTAAGGATCAGATGAGAGGATAATTGTAAAGTGGCTGGCACATAGTAAGTGCTATATGTTAGCCATTTTCTTCTTCATCATCATCATCATCATCATCATCATCATCATCATCATCATCATCATTGTTCCAGGGTTGTTGTGAAGATCAAATGAAATAATATTTGTAAAGCACTGAACATTCTGCCTGGCACACAGTAGGTGCTATATAATTGTAGCTATGATGCTGTTGGTACTGTTGACCTTTATTGGCCTCCCTTTTAACTAAAAAATGAGAGGGCTGGTCTAGATTCTTAATCTAGAATCCATGAATTCCTGAAAAATTCATGACTATTTCAATATAATTGGTTTTCTTTGTAATTCTATGTATTTTGTGAATTTAAGAACATTATTCTGAGGAGACTCCATAGGCTCCACCAAATGGCCAAAGGGGTCCAGGACACAAAAAGATTAAGAACCCCTGGCTGAAGTGATCTCTATGGATCCTTCCAGTTACACATCCTATAACACTAAAATGCCTTCCAAGTAACTCAGGCATATTTCTTAATTAATTAATTTTATACCGCTGGCTTGTTTACCTTTTTTGAAGCTCAGCTTTACTACCTGCAAAACTGGGGTAATGGTATCTTCCTCATAGGACTGTAGAGAGGATCAAATTGAGATAGTATATGTAAAGGCATTTGCAAACTTAAAGTGCTAAATCAATGTCATCTATCATTAAAATTATCAATAGCATGAATTTAGAGTCAAATGTGAAATTATATGTTCAGACAATTTATTTGATGAAAGGTTTTAGTATTTCTTATTTACTGTGTTGGCCAATCTTTTATACATAAAATTCCATATACCTGTTTAGGTCAGAAATATCTTCAACCTTAAAATGTCCACTTTCAGTGAGATCTTGTAAAAATTAGCTAATAAAAATTAATGGGAAGCACTCCATAAAATGCTGTAGAAATGCTAGATAATAACTTGTTAAAAAGGAAATTAGTGCTCAGAAATATGCAGAATATAAAATTGGGTACTATCATTTTTTCTAGATGCCAAATCAAATCTTAAGCGACAAAAAGAAAAAGGACCCTACCTAGAGTGTGCCATATAAAACAATATCTTTCTCTATGCTGGGAAAAAAAAATTAGGACTTGAGCCCTTTGAGTTAGAAGTAGGGAATTAACAGAAGCTTCAAAGACATCAAACTTGAGGAACATTTGTAGAATAATCCCATCATTTCCATAATAGAAGGAACACTGCCATTGGAGAGAGAAGTTTATTCTACAAGGGGTCCTATACCATGGGTCAACTAAACAGAAAGACATTGTGCTGGAGAAAGAGACTCAAAAACTGAGCCTCATTAAAAAATGAAACAGGCACTGGGGCATGATGGGAAGGGGGCCATCATTGATGTCAGGAAGATACAGGTTCAAATCTTGCATTTGACAAATACTTAGCTGTTTGATCGTGGGGCAAGTCACATAACCTCTTCACGTATCAGGCAATTCTCCAAGACTTGTTGAACTCAACCAGTGGAAAGAAGTTTACACAATGGGAGTTCCCTTTTCTGAAAAATGACAGGTTCAGATTTGAGGCGTGGGGTGGAGAAAGAAAACTAAATCTAATCCTGACTCCAGTCTCTGATTCAACATGGAAATTAATCCTAATTAAAGGCTAACGATCCTGCCTCACATACCTAAGGCATTGTGGAAGGTTATATATTTAACACTCCCTCTCATCAAGGACAGTTCATACCTAAGAAGTGCAGTTAAAGGAACTGGAGAATGTTCAGCCTGTAGAAGAGATTTAATGTAGAACATTGCAGCTGCATTCAAACATTTTAAAGGTTGTTACATGGAAGAAGGATTAGATTCTTCTTGTTTGGTCCTTCAAGCCAGAATGAGGACAAAGAGGCCATCTTAAGCTTGATATATGGTAAAACTGACTAACAATTAGGGCCATCTCAGAATGGAATAGGTCACTTCAGGAGGTAGTGGGCTCCCCTCACTTGAAGCCTCAAGCAAGTCCTGGCTGACCGCTTGTTGGGCACTTTGTAGAAGAGATTCTTTTGAAGGTATGCATTGGAACAGATGGCCACTGAGGTCCCTTCCAACTGGGAAATTCTGTTATTTTGTGAAATATCCTGGAATCACTGGGGTCTTTCTTTGTCTCGAGGGGAACGTATTTGTCGTGAGGTGGGAAATTTGGTGGATATGTAAGTACAAGAAATGAGAGAGTAAGGATCATAGTGGCTAAGGGGTTGGAACTCTTGAGTTTGAATTTTGCCTCAGATATTCATTCAATGATCATGGGAGTGTCACTTAACCTCTTTTGGCCTCAGAGTCCTCATTTGTAAAAGTGGGGATATTAACACTTTCCTCCTAGGGTTATTGTGAGGATCAAATGAGATAATAGGTATAAAGTATTTTGAAAACCCTACTAATTAACTAATTAATGAAAACCTAACTTAAATGTTAGATGATGATAATGATGATGATGACATTTAGTGACCAGTCTCTAGGAGTAGAATCATTCTGATTTTCATAGAAAACAGTAACCCACAGTCCAACAAACAGCTATGGATTTTTCAGCTCACTTCTAACTATACTATTATATAAGAGATTCACCAATTTTCTCAAAACTTATAGTTAGAAAATGTCTAGAGCCATTTGGTTTCTGTGCATGTTGACCCAACCTTAATGTCAGATGGAGTAAGATACTTTGTAGAAAACTACCCTGAGTGGGTGTTGCTAATTACCATAGTTCTTAATTATGGCAGAATCCGACACATAGCAGGGCTGGGGAAGTCATTACGGTGTAGTTCTACTCAGGCAACTAGTTTGCATAGTGGATAGAACACTGGGCTTGAAGTCAGGAAGACTCACCTTCCTGAGTTCAAATCTGGCCTTAGACACTTACTAGGTGTGTGACCTTGGGCAAGTGACCTAACTCTGTTCGTCTCAGTTTCTTCATCTTTAAAATAATTTGGAGAAGGAAATGGCAAATCACTCCAGTATCTTTGACAAGGAAACCCAAAATGGGGTCATACAACTGAAGAACAACAGAGTTCTACTTGGAGAAAAAATTTAGTTCTTCAGTTGGCTGAGGTTCTTTTCTACCAGTCTAAATTGTTCTTTTGTTATCCGTTACACTGCTAAAGAATCTTTCTAAAATACATACAAGCACAAGTTAACTTGATGGGATCTATTTAGAGATTCTAGAAATTAACTTATATAATGGAAAAATTTTTCTTTCAGCTCTCTGAGTAAGAAGACATATCAATGAAACAGTAAAATAAAGTTCTCTGTCTCCCTGCCAATCTCAGGAAGAGGAAGTCTCTGACACAAAAAAGAACTTAATGAGATGGTTTTGTGCTATATTTTAAAAATCAACAAATGGGAAAACTTCCACCAGCTGGAAAATTCAGGAATATATTGCTCTCCTATATACTGGAGACAGCCAGTGAGATATGCTGAATTGTGAACAGCTCTCCTAATAAACTTAGAAATTAATTTTGCATCAAGCAACAATCCATAGGTATTTTTATATGGCTGTCTCAATAACAAAAGTCATCTTGGGAAGACAGAAATCAGCAAAGACATGTGTCTGAGAAAGACGAGCTGAACTTTCATCACAATGGAAAGTGTTTTGTACTAACCACATTCTGGAAAGCATTAGCACAAAGAGGGAGGGGCCTTAAAACTGCACAACTCTCCCCAGTCTCACTTTTAATTATGAGAAGCCTATGACTGACATTCATTTACCCAAATGATTCTTGGTGAGTTGGGAATTGAAGGAGAAGAAAACAAGTGCTGCTTATTAGTCAGAGAGCTTAAAAACAAAAGCATCACATAGAATAAGCTCTAATGTATTATCAGGGTTAAAAACAAAATACCCAATAAAAGAAACTTACTTGTCAGTAAGTATGTGGGAGCTGAATTCTCTGTGCCAAAGAAGGGGAAAAAAATCTCAGTTGTAAATGCATATTCATATTCATTTAAATAAGGAGGACAACAGGCAGAAAGACCCCTGACATTGACAATCTTCATAGGCTGCTCATCAGCCTTCTAAGATGGTCTCGTTCCATCATCAATCAGGCCAGCTCTGTTTATTAAAACGCAAAAATGCTGCTGGGGCAGTTTGAGAGGCATTACAGTGGAAACACACATGGCGATGAACTGAAATATTCTCTTTCTCCACTTGTCTCCCTCCTGCCTCCCAAAAATCACTTTATTTTATTAGAAGGTTATAATTTCTTCCCAGTCTGGAGTCAGGAAGACCTGAGTTCAAATCTGGCCTACTAGCTATGTGACCTTTGGCAAGCTACCCAACCTCTGTTTGCCTCAGTTTCCTCATCTGTAAAATGAGGATAACAATAGGGTTGTTGTGAGGACCTAATGAGATACTAATTATAAAGCACTTAGCACACAGCCTGGTACATAGAGAGTGCTATGTAAATGTTAGTTATTATTATTATCCTTTCCACAGTGGAAAGGAAGACTCAAAGACTTTCCAAAGAATCACGGTCAATGGACATAACAGAATGACATCCTTACCAAGATCATGTGACCGGTGGAAATGTCCATGTTGGATTGGACTGGTTCTTCAGACCAGGAAGAAGTGCTGCTCCGTGCAGAAGGACTAGGGATGGGCCCATCACTGAACTGTGATGAAACACTATTGATACGGGAAGTATGCAGTGGCTCTGGGCGATCAGATGTCTTGACAGCCATGCGCTGACGGCATAGCTCCTAGAACGTAAGAAGAGAGAAGAATAGATGCTATATATTTTTTCTCATTAAAAGAACAATACAAAAGATTGGATATAGTGAACAAAAAAGGGGAACATTTTATATGGTCCAAAAGCCCAAAACAAAAGAGATTTGTGATAGACTAAAAAAAAGATAAAGGGAAAAACGAACTCTAAACTCTCTCCCCCAAAACAGTAAGTGACAAATAGGAGCAATTCAATGGCACCACAAAGAAAAAACAGAACAGTAACTGCATAAGATAATGGTGAAATGTCTAAGCAAGCAGTCAGATACATTAAGTTTCTAGGTTTTAAAAATCTTGATCTAATTGTCTAATGAATCCTCGATTACATGGCAGCCTAGATTTAGAGCTGGGGTGGGGGGAACCTTAGTGATCACCTAGTAAACATGATAATTTTACCAATGAAGAAACATGGCAGGAGAGGAGAACAGAAATGTCAGAAGTCCCGAGTTTAACCGGCTTTGCCACTCACTACTTGTATCAAAGGGAGGGTTTTTTTTACTTCAAGCATGCTTGATACAAGTCTTATATCCACAAATGATTCTAAAATGGCTCCATAGCACAGTACGACTTATCAGTATGCATCTTTTGGACATATTAGCTACTGATTACTTATCTTTAAGAGGGGTTCTGGAAAGCTGTTTGCCTCTGGCTAACAAATGATCATATCTCAAGTACTCAAAATGACACAGTGGCTACAGTATTCCATTTAGAATCAAGAAGACCCAAGTTTAAAATCCTGCCTCAGAGACCAGCTGTGTGCCACTCCCCCACCCCCACCCCAGCAAGCCACTTAACCTTCCTCTGCCTCAGTTTTCTCATCTGCAAAATGGGGAAAATAACAGCATCTACTCCATAGTGCTGTTGTGAGGATGAACCAAGTTAATATTTGTAAAGTGCTTTGTAGACCTTAAAGCACTCATGTACATGCCAGCTATTGTTGCTGTTATTAAGATAGGGTAAACATGCTTCTTTTGTCCTGTGCAAACAATCGTAACCCAATGATCAGCAAATAAAGGAAAACTTTAAAAAAAAAACAATTTGAAAAGATTATTTAAAAAAGCAATCATTCAAAAGGAAAGTGTTTCAAGAACTGATTCATCCATGCTCCCCTTCTCCTTTCTAATCTTGGTGGCAGTGGAACCTGGCATCCAACGGGAGGTCATACCACCAACCTGAATCTGACCTGAGACGTCTATCAAAAGATGTCTCAGCACCCCAAGGCAACAGCCAGAGATCACAAAACATTTCCACATTTCCCTTCTCCCTCTCCCTGCCATTAAAGACCTTTGTAATGCCAGCTGACATTTTAGAGAAATCTTCTCTTCAGGCACAGCTCTCTGTGTGAGATATCCATATGCTGCTGAATTTCCCTTCTCTGCCTGTTCATTAGTAAGCACTTCTTTACCCTGGTTCTTTGCGAAGGGGCCTCTCTCCTTCTGTTGCTTGGATCCTACATGAATTCTGAGTCCTCCAGTTAAAGCAACTGGTGGCAGTGGAGATTATTGTGGGCTCAGGGAAGTAGGAGGATAAAAGACGGAAATAGGTGAACTTAAAAAAAAAAGAAAATCTTGCTGTGAGAGAAAAGATCTTTAATAAAAGGGCAAAAGAAAGAGAAAATCAGATGAAACCCAAGCTACGACTGCCTAGCACTTTCATTTTACCCATATATTTTCAAGTGCTTATTGCCTTCCAGATCGTTTAAAGATGACGACTTTATTTCCAATTTGACACGTACAAGTTCTCCACGAATCTGACAAAACTGGTTGATAATTTTAATAAGGTAGAACTGAATGACAGTAGCAACCTGCCCAAGTATCTCATCTCATTTATTTCAGATCACATGGAATGCTATATGAATGGGGTAGGGGTAGGGGGGAGCCCAAGTAAAGGGGTCTACAATGCCTGTAGTTTCATACATCCAACCTAGAAATGCACCAAGTCCAACAAGTGCTTACTATCATCACCAGATAATAAAGAAAAGTGGCCACAGAAGCAGGTAAGAAATCACAGGACATATTAAAAAAAATGAGCTGCTAATAAGGTAAAAGGGGTTGAGTTTCATGAGTTTTATCTATTTTTTAAAAATCTCATTTTCAATCAGCATCTGTCTTGTGAATCTGCAGGTGATGTAGGAGAATTGCAACAGAGCTAGGTAGCACAGTGGATAGAACACCTGGCCTGAAGTTAAGAAGACTCATCTTTGTAAGTTCAAATCTGGCCACAGACAGCTGCGTGACCCTAGGCAAGTCACTTAACTCTGTTTGCCTCAGTTTCCTCATCTATAAAATGAGCTGGAGAACTGAATGGCAAACCACTCCAGTTTCTTTGCCAAGAAAACCCCAAATGGGGTCACAAAGAATTGGACATGACTGAAAAATAACTGAATAACAACTATATTACTTGTGCAGATATAATTTCCTTTTAAGTCTCAGGATGAGAAAATCTCAGAGACCATCTAGTATAACCTCTTATTTTACAGATGAAGAAACTGTCCAAGGGCTAAAGTGACTTGACCAAGGTCACACAGCAAACTAGTAGTAAAGCTAGTTACTAGAGTAGCAGGTCTCTGACTAGAAAAGATGGCTTTATTTGGAGTTAGTGGCTCTAGGGCACAGTTTAATCATCAGTAAAATAAGGGGACTGGAATAAATGACTTTAAGACTCCTTTCAACTCTAAATATATGATTCTATAATTTTGATTCATTCTATTATGCCATTGTAAGGAGGGAGGAGGGAAGGGAAGAAATAAGGAAGGAAGAGAGGGAGGAAGGAAAAAAGGAAGGAAAGGAATGAAGCAGGGAGGCAAGGAAGGAGGGAGAGAACGAGAGGGAAAAGGAAGGGGGAGGAAAGAAGAAAGAGAAGGAAGGAGACAAGAAAGGAAGTAGGAAAGGAAGGGGGGAGGGAAGGGGAAAGAAGGAAGGAGGGAGTGAGAGAAGGAAGGAAGGAGGGTAGGAAGAAGAAGGGAAAAAAGGGAGGGAAGAAGGGAAAGAAGGAAGAAGAAAATTAAACATGGGAGGAAAATATTGACTGGATACAAAAAAGCATCTACCCATTAAATGTAGCATTTGCTTCATTAACCAGAAGTTAGCTAGTGGTGATAACAGCTAGGAGCTGGAATCAGTAGGGTTTCATAATCAGAAGGACTGAGGGAAAAAGCATGGGTGGTGAATCCCTTAAAACACACCAGGAACTAGAAACAAATTGCTAAGGGTGTTTTGTTAGAATTTTGTTGCCTTTATGAATTTCCTTCTGGGGCATCAAACACCCTATCCTTGAATTATACGTGTGTGTGTGTGCACGTGTGTGTGTGTGTGTGTGTGTGTGTGTGTGTGTGTGTGTGCGCGCGCGTGTGTATATACCACAGAAACATACACACACATATATGCATGTATTTGTGTGTAGACATACACGTATATGTATGTGTATATACATTTATGTGTGTGTGTTATGTATTCATATCATCCTTCATATATGAAAACCATCCTGCTAATGTTTCTGTGTACCAGATGAAGGGGAATATTTAAGATGCACAATCCCTTTAAGATGGATGACCTGTATAACCTGCCTCCAATTACGGCTTGCAGAATCGTTTGCCATTTTGACCTTAGAGGATTCTCATTTCAGTTCCAATGAGGGTGCCTTCAGCTCAGAGTGGTCTAACCATTGGAGTTGCTTTCCAGTCATCAATGAAAAACATGACAGGGCTTTAATGTGTGTTTCTCTGCAGATACTAAAAGTCAATCTTGCTGCAATGTGCTTGACTACAGTTGTCCAGTGAAATCCTGGGCTCTTCTGCCATGACACTATTCTACCATGGCTACGATTTAGAAAGAATTCTGAATTAGAAATCATGACATTAAGGTTGGGCAAGACAATTTAAACTCCAGATCTTAATCTGACATTTAAAGAGCATATAAAACCCTCCATAATCTAGCTCCAATCTGCCTTTTTCAGACTAATTTCAAATCCCTTCCCCTCAAAGCACTCTATGTTCCAGTCAAATTAGCCTATCTGTGGTTCCCCCTACAACGTATTCCATTTCCCTGTGTCTATCCCTTTGCTTAGGCTGTCCCCACTTCCTGGAAAGTTCTCTCTCCTCCCATCTGCTTCTTGGAATTCCTACCTCCTTCCAAAGTTCAGCTCCAGTACTACCTCCTACATGAGCTTTTCAAAGCTCTTTACATATATTATCTCTTTTGATCCTTATAATAATAATGTTGTGTGGTAGGTATTATTATTATTATTATCTCCACTTTAAAGATGAGAAAACAGACTCAAAAAACATTAAATAACTTAGCAAAAAACACAGATATTGCAAATATCTGAGATGAGATTCAAACTCAGCTGTTATTGACGTCAAGTCTACCACTCTCTATTACGCTACAAAAGACAGTAAAGATGGGATTGGCTAAGAAATCCAGGAAAATATTCTAAGATTTAAAAAAATAATTACTTGTTAGAATAATGGCATTTATTGGGGATATCATGTACATAATTCTTGGTCTGAAGCATAGCATAGCTTTTTATGTCTCTCAGTTTCACCCTTAGTAATGCATACCTCAATGCTGTAACTATTTAACTAAGAACTATATCTGACCCTAGATTCAGTTGATTCAAAATATCCCAGCAGGGACTTAGACATACAAGTGCCACTACCTATGGGGATAAAAATCAATGAGCTGTGGTGGGTTGTCCTGACCCTATCATTCATCCACATATATTTCTGCCAAGCACTAAATATACAGCTTTTACCACTATGTACTTTCCAAGTGCACATCTCTGTAACTCCTCCCTGGGAAACTCTCGTGTCAGTTCTGCTACATATAAAACCGAACTTCCCCACTTTCCATTTCCTCCCATTTCCATACCCAGAGGACATTTTGTAATCATAGGGAGAATCACATGTTAAATAAAGAGGCAGCATTGAAAAGGAGTTTCCATATTTGAATGCCCCCAAAGCTTCCAAGAAATAACA